GAAGATCAGAAGAAATAATGGAGCCATGAGTGGCAAGGCAAATTTCGATAACCAAAGTCCTCTTTGGAAGTCACGTGGGGAAACTATGAGGTTACTCTTGGCTCAACAACTAGACAAGAATTTAGTATTCCAGATAAGTTGGGGACCAGGGAGGTCTCGATTGCCTTTGGAAGCAGATAGGAGGCAACATGATGCTTCGGACAGTAGTAGTGATTTAGGGATTCGTGTGTGTGGAGTAGCTTGTTGATCGGAAGTGCCAAGTCACTTTGCAGTTGGATTAAATAATCTCAGAGTAATTAATTTGACCCTGTTGCACAACTCTCGTGTGAGTCGAACCGTTGCAGGGATGGGTCTCCTACTCGAAAGACTATCTGAGCCTACTATCAAGTATAAGTGATCTGCAGGGATAGTCAATCAAGGATTTTGTTTCTAACATGAAATCCCCATTATGAAAAGTTGAATAGTCAGTTGGGAAATTTATGGGATGGATTCAGCTATGGTTCAGTATGGGGGTCTGTCAGGGATTCAGACCATCTCGAGATTTTAGATTTCAGATCGAGTAAATGTGATTATGAATCAAGGAATTCGTTCATCTTCAGGTTGTAGAGCCGTGAGAGGGTTGGTTTTGGTTGCCTTGGGAAGGCCGGGGTATGATCGGGGTAGTGGCCATGCCATTCAAGTTGTTTGGCATGACAGGAATGGTAAGGAAAGATTTCGGGGATAAAATCTAATTTAAGCGGGGAGAATTGTAACATTCCATTTTAAATTAAATAAAATACATAAATAAATAATAAGCCCTAAACCCAAAGATGCAAATTATATTATTTTCTGATGGTATTGTAGCCCTAATTTCAGAATAATTTAGCAAGGCGTTGGTTTTGGGAGTTAAATGTCATAACTTTTGAATATTGGGGGTTAAGTGTAATTTCTGGATTAGTTTTGTAAAGAATTTTGAAGGCTGATGCTATTTGGTAAACTATGGATTTAATTTGAAGAGGATTTCATAAGGCATGGTATAATTGGTAAATATTGGAGCTAAGTTGAAAATATTTCGGAAAGGGGGGACTGGTTGTAACAAGTTGGTATAGAAGTTTGGATGGGCACGTGACTTGAACCTATGCCACTTCAAAAACCCTAACCCTAGCACATACTCTTCAACCGCCACCATGTTTAGCCTCCCCGACCGCCGCCGACTTGCTACTGTGAACTGTCGATGCAGCCATCTCCGTTCCTTGCTGCACCGAGCTGCCAAGCATCGTGGCTGCCTTTCCCTTTTGGAGAGATCGAGTGGCCACCATTCCTCCGTTGTCTTTTTCTTCTTCTTCTACCTTCTTATCTGTTTCATTGGTGCTACGCCCTAGCCACGTCTATCGTTGCTACCGTCTCGAGCAACTACTTTTTCTACGCTCTGGTTGTCGTCCGCCACCTCCCTTCCACTGTTACATTGGTATCGCCGCTCCAGCGGTTGTACCACCCGCTAGAGATGCTATTGTCAACGTTCAAGTCGTCATCATCGCTGCCATTCGACTGTTTCCTCCTTGATGGATGTTCTTCTACCGCTACACACCACCAGGTGGGTCGTTTTGCTCGTATTAGCATATGTAGATGCGTATGATGTTGTTTCCAGTTGTGTATGTTGACAGTGTCTGATGGGTGGCCGGAAAACCGAAGAAAAAGGCATCACCACCACCGTGAGGTGGTGGCTATCACCTTCGACCACCGCCTACCGCCACAAGGGTGGCTGAGTGTATGTGTATATGTGTGTGTTATATTCTATGTGTGTTCTTTTGGATATTATGTGTATAATATATTAATTGGCCGGATTAATCAAGGAAACAACTCAACACCGTCGCTGTGAGGTGGTAGCTGCCACCTTATGCTGCCATTCTGCCGCCACCTGGGGTGGCTATATGCATTTGTGTGTGATTGTTATTTGGGATGCTTGGACATATTTAGTCTAAAATCTTAATCACCACCACGAGGTGGTGGCCGCTACCATGAGCCGCCAGTGACCACCACTAACCGAAGTGGTAGTTGGTGCCCGACTTAATTAACATTAAAAAAAACCTAAAAATTTAACCATTTGTCTAATTGCCATGCGATTGGGTTGGAAACCCTAATTAGGGTTTAGAAAACCCTAATTTTGGATTTATTGGTTTTGGAGTTGTTAGGACCCGCATTTTGGACCATTGCAATTGAATGATGAATTAATCTTGACCAAATTGTATGGTTGACCTAGTAGAGTGATGGACTTAATGGATTAAGTCCTTAATGGGTTAAGTAAGAACACTTAACCCTAATCATCATTTTATGTGAAAAACCCCTAATTAGGTTTGGGTTCTTGTTGGGCCATTTCATGGACAAGTTGTCGTGGGCCTTCATGGGCCAATTGGAAACAAGTTTATGGACTAAGGAAATTATTGGTCTTTAGGATAAGGCCCATTGGAAAGGCTTGGGCCCAATTTGGAAAATTGGGCCATAGGTGGGCCATAATTAGGCCTTAATGATTATGAGATAATGAACCATCAGAATGCCAAGTGTTTGGACTAGAATAAATGGTTGGGCCTTAAGGTAAGACAATATAGAGATTTGGGCCTAATTTAGAAAATTGGGCCATATATTGGGCCTTGATTTACTATTTGGCTTTTGGACCTCCAGAGTTTGAGTTTGGGCCTTGATTTTGGTCCAAACTAGATTAGGGGTAAAATTGTCTCTTTACCCCTAAGTATGGAGTTATGGCTATGCATTGGAACCCAATTATTGATTGGTTGTTGTTTTGATGATTGATATTTTTGGGATCTGTCAGCCAGCAGCCACAGCTTTATCCGCAGGGCTTCAGCAGTGCGAGGTAAGTCTTCTCACTGTTTGTATGGATTGAATGCATTAATGTCGACCCATTTGGTTTATGTATTGTAGGAAGACTCGAGGGATAGCCCTAGGAATTATAAACGAAAGACCAGGAGACGACTCCTGGCACACTGTATACTATTATGTATGGTAGGAAGATCCGAGGGTTAGCTCTAGGCATTATGTATGAAAGACCAGGAGGTGGGGAGGCACACTGTATGCTAATTGGCTAAGTAGAGTAATATGTATGCTAGTTGTCTTTGTGATGCTTGCATGGAAGACCAAGAGGTGGCTCTTGGCACTTATCTGTAAGAACGAAGGGATGGCCCCTAGCTTGGCAAGAAAGATCACGTGGTGGCCCGTGCCATAATGGCAAGACTATATATTGGCACATAGCACCTTTATTGATTATGATATATGTATGGTTAATGGTTATGTATGGTAGTATGTGATTTATGTGCTTATATGTTAGATAGTATCCGGTTGAAAGAGACCGAAGAGGTAGGCCAACACCCAGATATGCTAGGCAGTATGTTAATATGTATGGTATGTGGTACTTGGGGAACTTACTAAGCTTCGTGCTTACGGTTTTCAGTTTTGGTTTCAGGTACCTCCAGTTTTCAAGTAAAGGAGCTCGGGACGATCGCAGTGCATACACCCGTGTTTTTCCGCAATGTGTGATTTCTGGAAATGAACTCTGATAAATGTTTTATTTGAAATGATTTTCTATGTGTGAATAGTGTTTTTAGTTACATTAAAAATGAAATTTTTGATCCTGAATTTTGGGATGTTACATTACAACAAGAAGAGATTTGATTAGAGAGTATGGTTGCATAAGATCATGGTCGTGTTGTTGTAAAGAGAAAAACTTCGACTACTCATTTATTGCTCATGTACCGCTCCACAAACCATGATGTTATGCATTCACACTCTCTAATCAAAGCTATTGTTGTTGTAAAGAGAAAAACCTCATTAAAATCTAACACCACATTATATTCACACTTCTTTATCATATGTTCTCTTTTCCTCGTGCGATCTACAACGACCATCTCCACCCTTTAGAGTGGAAAATGTCGCCTATGTCTTAACTAAATGTTTGAACCCACCACAATCGTTTTTCCTTCACTTTCTATGTGATTGAAGTCGCTCCTACTGCATTTCTAAGTGTTGTCTTTTGTACCTTATACACTAAAGGTGTATCACATGAATATTACAACATACTCACTTATGTGACCTTAATATTCCGATTGTGCTCATTCTTAATAACATTTAGAATCATTTATGGGATAATGACTTAAAAGGGTAACGAACTTTCAGTTTTGTTCATATATTTAATCATTGAACATTTTTATGTTTGATTTACCCCTGAATTATTTGAAATTGTTCATATTTTACCTTTTTAATCGGTTATCATATAGATAAAATATGAACGATTTCCAATAACTCAAAAGTAAAACAAACACACAAAAAAACATAATAAATAAAAAAAATTTAAAAAAATAAATAACATTAATGTAAACAAAGCTGAAAGTCAGCCTTTCAAATTGTTATCCCTTATACAAACTCAACATATATAGCTAATGGGCATTTAAGACGACTTGATCCTTAACCATTTACTTTTTTAGACAAAACATGCAGATAAATATGAAAACTTAAAAAGTGTGCAAGAAGAAATAAAAAAATGAAAAACATGGAGTAATAATAACACCCTAACTCCCTAAGTAGTCTCAAAACATAAAGGAGCAAAAGTCGGAGGACCACTTATGTAAGTTGATTAAGTGCGTGGTGAGTCACCTTTTTGTGCGGGAATACGTGGCCTATATGTTTGACTCTGAGATTTATGGCCGTGAAATTTACACATGTTTTATTACGTAAATACTATTCTTTTATGGTTGTGAAATTTGCACTGTTTAAATTAATATAAAAAAGTGTTCTTTAGTAAAGCCCATTTGATATATAAATGAATAATCATTAAAATATCATACATGGATTATACCATAATTTGTAACTTTAGTGTATTAACTTTTTTCCTTTAACTTTAAATTTTTTGCTACTTTGAACAAATTTAAACATTTGTTAATATACAAAAAGACTATTCTTTTGACATCATTGAGAAATAAAAATCAATACACAACAATGTCATACGATCTTAATCCGAATTAAAATTGAAAAATGAGGACATCAACACAAAATGCCTTAATAAGATATAATATGAAAGTACACTGCCATAATAAGGAAACATTACACGGTACATTCCTATTTTTTGTATTTATCCCAATTTTTAATATGATATAAGAATGTAACATGTATCATTGTAGGAAAGTCTTCGGCCTTTTATTAAGCTTATAAAAAGATAAAGAAACCATAACACAAAGATCCGATTATATACACCCGCCCGACCCGTTAATCTAGTCCAATTTTGGTTTTATTGCACCTTCAAACAACATCCAAAGAATCCGAGCCTTCCAACTTCCACCAAAAAGAAAGAAAGATTGATAACCCTCAAACTGTTATAACCTATATCTATCCCTGAAACAAGAAAAAAAAAATTAAAAATTAATCGGTTATTACAAAGAACAAGAAAACACCAAATGAATTTATATTTACCTTTGTAGGAGCTTCAGATACTTTGTATGAATCAGCAGTAATGGAGTCGAGCCACAAACCAGGAAAAAGATTCTGCAAAAAAAAAAAAGAAAAATCAGAAACCATTCAAATACAAAACACAATATTCTTGAGTGAAAATCAACAAATATTTTCAAGATTAGGTTTTTAAAATCATGTAGAAACCATCATGTTTTTTTTTTTTTTTTAATTTGCAGATGGATGAGTTTCCCAAAATATAAAAAGGGAATACTATGGGTTTGGGAAGAATGAATGGTTTTGGAGAAAAAGTGTTAAATATTGAAGGTTGTATATTTTGAAAACAAATGCAAATTATCTTTCAATCAATCGATTTGGGGAATCGACAATTTGTGGAGAAATCAGTCGGTATCAGATCCCAGAAATGGTAAATTGAACGGATCATAACAATCCAAAAAAGAATCTTAAAATTGCAATTCATAGTTCATACGAAAAACTGGGATATGATAAAATCAACAGAAAAAGAGGAACTTACATCAAGTTGTCTCTGAATAGCCCTTGGTCTCTTCTTTGGCCTCCGAGACGGCTTTGATCCGGTCAACAAGAACACATCCTCTTCGATCTCACTACGGGAAAGCGGAATCGAAAACTTCTGCTTCTTCGACTTCCTCGAATCGCTGTTATTGTTAGTATTCGGTTCTGATTAACTGTTTGTTGATATTAGTCTCGTGAGATGTTTTAATCTCTTGTAATCGTGATGTGCCGATCTTCGGCGGGCCTCCAGTAGATTGTTTGTGGTTCATCGGCGGTCTTCTCGGCCGCAAATTCCAGGTCTTCTGCAATGATTCATCTTCTGCTGATGCCGCTGCTTGCGGCGGAATGGAATCATCCATTGGTGTGGATGAGCGATTTTCTTCCGCGACGCCATCGTGTTGCTTGCTGTTTTCCCGGAAACGAATAGAGATCTTGTTAGATCTTCTCCCTTTGTTATTGTTTTCAACATATTTCGTAGATGATTCGGACATTATTCGTTTATCCGTTTTTCCATAAACTGTGAAGCATCGTAGTTTAGATTAGCCTCGAACTCTAAATCACGCATCGGCGATTGCTTGTGAAGAGGCGATGGCCGCTGTGAAACACTTGACGGTGATGTTTGACGCCTATGAGAAGGAGCATGAGTATGCGACTTCAACGGCGGTGATTCACGCCATGGAGTGGACGGAGGTGGTGATGTAGAGGAGACTTCTCCGGCGAGTTTGCTGCGACCGCTGCGATTGTTGTTCCATGTCAGATGTGTCAACGAGAAGTTGTGTAGAAGTTGTAATTTCGCTGGTGCCGGCGACGCCATATCGATCAACAGCTTCTGGTTACAATCAGAGACTTATTCGATTCATCCTCCAAAACAAACTTATTGAGTGATGAGAATTAAAGAAAAACCAACAAAGGAATCGAAATTCCTAATTCCTTTCACGGAGTGTGATCGAAACTAAATGGGTGTGATATTGCTGCGATTTTCGAGATTCGATGAATGAGAAAAAAAAAATTGAGAGATCAGAGATATGAGAGAAGAATTGTGGCCAAGGTTTTGAAGAAGTTCAAGGTTTTATTGAAGGAGAAAGCCTTGTTTTTGCATTCTTTATTGAACAAATCGCATGACATAATTTATAACTTATATTTCTTAGACTTATATTTTTATAAATTCAAACATATATTTATTGTTGATATTAACGTGACAAATTTAATAAATAAAGTTACGCACTTTAAATATAGATTTCATAAGTGTGAATATGAATTGGGGTATTGGCTCATGTCTATTAAAGTTTGAGAAGACCAAATAACCATTTTTGGTACACCCCATGAAATAATATAACAGGGTTGTCAAAAAAAATTATAACATATAATAATTTATGTTATATATGGCTAAAAAGATATTATATATGGATTTGAATATATATATATATATATATATATATATATATATATATATATATATATATATATATATATATATATATATATATAGTAAAAAGGGAATATACATTAGAGCTCTACCTAAGCTTAGGTACTAAACTTCTTGAAAATAAATTGTTTTACTATATAAAGATTACGGTTAATGGATTCACGATTAATATTTCAAGATGTAATTCAAGATCGACACAGTAAGGTTTAGGGTTTAGGGTTTAGGTTTAGGGTTTAGAGTTTATGGTTTAGGGTTTAGGTTTAAGTTTAGGGTTTAGGGTTTAGGGTTAGGGATTAGGGTTTAGGGTTTAGATTTTAGGTTTAGGGTTTAGGGTTTAAATTTAGTGTTTAGGGTTTAGGTTTAGGGTTTAGTAATATTCACTTGGGTGAAGTAATAAACGATAATTGAAGAAAGAAAACAGAGATGGTAAAACGATAATGAAAGAAAGAAATGTTATGGAGGATGATATTTTTACCAAGTGAAACCAAACCGGGTATATTTAGCATGATAAAACAACATATTTTAGAGGTTTAGTACCTAAGCTTAGATGGGGCTGTAATGTATATTCCCTATCCCCATATATATATATATATTCGGTAAGAATTTTTTTTTTTGGTAGGAAGGTAAGAAATTTTTTTGGCAAACAAAATAAATGAATCATTAGATGAATCAATAATAACATGATTCACAAAAAAAAATCCCGAAAAATATTTCGATGATTTATTTTTATGATGATTTTGTTGATATTCACTAAAATTGTTATAAAAGTGAATTTTTTTTCTTGATTTACCTAAAAATAAATCATAAAAGTGTTTTTTCCGGATTTTTTTCTTGTGAATCATCTTACTTTTGAATCATCTAATGATTCATTTTATTTTTTCCCTAAGAAAATATGTATATAAAAAATTTCTTACATTCCTACCAAAAATTTCCTTATTATTTGATATTGAATATATATATATATATATATATATATATATATATATATATATATATATATATATATATATATATATATATATATATATATATATATATAAAAGGTGTCATGCATATGGTACACTTATAGTCATACCAAATCCAAACAAATGCTAGTACACTAATGTATTAAATTAGTATCACTATTCAACATATTTCACAATTGATAAATTAAAGTCTCAATTACCACTTGCAACAAACACAAAAAAAAACGTTACGGAGATATTACACCTTCACTATTCAACAATGATTGCGGTACATCTATATCTGCTTTAAAAGTTATATCCGTATCACTATTCAACAAATTGTTGTTTTTTACAATTTAATCTACTTTTATTTTGAACATAAAATCTCCCAATAAAACTAAATTCAAACTAAATAGGAAGAGGTTGATAATTAATATACTTGGTAATTATCAGATTTTGGAGGACAAACACCCTTTCAGGCCACCCCCATCCATGTCGAGCCCCATTATTTCTGAACCTCCGCTTGTAGCAGACTTTGACTGTGTATTTTGTTACATTAAATCCTTTCCTAAAGGACCTTCTTGCGGGAGAGATGGCTTGAGTGCTCAAAACTTATCAGATGCCCTTTGTGGAGAAGGGCATGCTATTGTCACAGATCTCATACATGCTATCACGTCAGTGGTTAAATTATGGTTAGCAGGAAGATGTCCAAACAATTTGGCAGAGTTTGTTGCGTCCGCTCCTATCATGCCTCTACTTAAACTTGACAACGGGATCCATCCAATTGCACTAGGCACTATACGGAGACGTCTGGTTTTCAAGATTGCCATGAAAGGTGTGGGTAAAGAAATGGCCAAGTACCTTAATGATTTTTAGTTCGGGGTTGGTGTATCCGGTAGTGCCGAGGTTGTGTTACATAGTGCCAATAGGGTGTTGAGTGAACACCATGCTGATGAGTCTCTTGTAATGCTGACTCTGGATTTCTCGAATGCATTCAATGTAGCACCTGGCTCCTGGTATGTATTTTATTCTAGTATCTTACATTTTGGCATTGGACTCGGTGAGTTGAGGTCCAACTCGTCAAGTCGGAGCGTATTGGACACAGACGTTTAATGACCTAATCGACGAGTCTGCGCCCGGACTCGGCGAGTAGGCGCTGCCCGGAAAAAACCCTAATCTGAGGGTTTACACCATATTTAATCATCTCTTTCAGCCACCCCTCGTCCCTATTGCTTCTAGAAACCCTCCATAGTAAACCCTAAGTGTTTTGGTGCAAGATTTAAGGCTTTTGAGTATTTTTGTGGGTTTTGACCTCAAGGAAGAAGGAAGAGCATAGAAGTATCAAGAGGAGACTAAAGGGTTCGGGTTTGGTTCATCATTTGCAGTCTTTGAGAGGTATAAAGTCTGTACCTTGCTTGCTTGTTTGTTAGATCCCTTTTTGGGGAGGATTTAGGGCTTTTTAAGCCATATGAGGTAGCCAACCATGATTGCAAACATGGTTAGGGGTCAAGACTTCGGATCTAAGTCTTGGAAGGTGTCACAAGGTAGATTTGGGTTGCTTTTGCACCCATATAAGGTCCCATGCATCATAAGAGCTTATTTTATGTCCTTTTGAGCTCAAAGTCCCATGCCTGCACGTAAAGTTTGTAACTTTACATGCTAGAATGATTGAAGGAGCTTAGATCTACCTTTTGGTCAAGAGTTGTACGCTGGAAATCGATATAGGAGACTTGGACATGCCCGACTCGACGAGTCGTTCTTGGGACTCGACGAGTGTAAGAACGGACTCGGCGAGTCCAAGGCAATCTCCTTACAGTTGAAGATGAACTCGACGAGTTGTTCATACAACTCGGCGAGTCAAGGACATGAATTGTTTATCAGATGAAGGTGAACTCGACGAGTTAATCATCCGACTTGGCGAGTCGGATGAAGATTCATTCGATGTTCATAAAGAAGGGGGAACTCATCGAGTCGTTGCTAAACTTGACGAGTAGAGTCGTGGTTAAGGACGGGTAAAGAGTTAGGGACTCAATGAGTTGGCGGCCCAACTCGACGAGTCGGGTCAACTGGAAGTTGACCTTGACTTGGACTTGGACTTGGTTAGGGGTAAAATAGTTATTTTACCCTAAGAGTAGATATCAGATTCTAACTGAGTGTTTTGTGGGATTATAGCCGGAGGGTTACCGGAGCAGCAGTCAGTCAGTTGTCGAACAATTTTTCAGCAGCCAGCCTTTCGAGGTGAGTTACCTTCCAGTAGCGGTGGGTCTACGGCCACAATGTCGGCCCACTAGTAGGAGTTGGATGCTAGATGATTGTCTTTGTGATATTCATCTATGTTTGCTGCTACCTGTTATGTTATGTACTTGTATGATATGTGTTTATGTGGTAGTAGTAGTAGGGGTGAAATAGTCCCCAGTTGTCCGGTGAAATAGACCGACGGGTACATCAAGCACCCCATAATGGCTTGACCTGGGTAAGTCAGACACCCCAGAATTGTCTGACAGTAGATTATGTTATGCTATGTGATTATGTGGTAGTAATAGGGGGTGAAATAGTCCCCGGTAGTCGGGTGAAATAGACCGACAGGTACGTCAAGCACCCCAGAATGGCTTGACCTGGGTACGTCAAACACCCCAGAATGGTTTGAACTGGGTAAGTCAGGCGCCCTAGAATTGTCTGAAAATATATTGTATGGTATGTGGTATTTGTGGGGGAACTCACTAAGCTTCGTGCTTACAGTTTTCAATTTTGTTTCAGGTACCTCTCCAGCAAAGGGGAAGGAGCCGGCGCAGTAGCTACACATCATACACATACCCCAGATTCCACACTATGAGTTTCCTTGGGATTGTACTCTGACATTATCACGATTTTATGATTTGGATTTTCAGACATTATATATAGTTTTATGAGATGTGATGATTTGTCAATGTTCTTCCTACGAATGTTTTTATTAAAGTAATATATAAAAATGAATTTTTTAGACGTGAAAATTGGGTTGTTACATTCAACCTCGTAGATCGATCAACATTGCTCCACGGGGTTAAGAAGATGTGCCCTTCCATTTCTTTGTGGGTGAATTTCTTGTACGGGCAAGCAACGAGACTTTATATCGGAGACCAACATATATGATCTGCCACTGGGGTGCAACAAAGTAACCCCTTGGGCCCTCTTCTTTTTGCCCTGACAAAACTGCAAATTTGGTCCTTGTGATTTGCAAAAATCTTTGGATGGGGTCCAAAAAGTTTCCAGCTTGCATAGAAGGTCCAAAATCAAGGTTTTTTTTTGGTTTTTAGTTCAAAAAAACTTAAAAAGATGATTATACCCTTTTAATTTCTTTTTTTAATTTTTTACAATTATTCTAATATTATTTTAACTTAAAAATAAAAGGAAAAGAAATATACATTCCCACCTACTCATACGTCCTCTCTCTCTCTCTCTCTCTCT